TGTCATTATTTGCAGATCACATGATACTATATGTAGAGAACCTCAAAGATTCCACCAAAAAACTATTAGAACTGATAAATGAATTTAATAAAGTAGCAGGATACAAAATTAATATTCAGAAATCAGTTGCATTTTTATACACCTATAATGAACTATCAGAAAGAGAAATTAAGAAAACTATCTCAGGGCTGGTCAAGTGGCGCATTGGTTAAGAGTTGGCTTGGGTCACCAGAGCGCCCCAGTTTGGATCCCACATATGAGGGCCAGTGACACTGCCCTCCACAGCTAAGATGCTGAACAACAGCTCAACCTGGAGCTGGGCTGCCGTGAGTCACCGGCCACGGTGTAGGCTGCAACCCCTGCTGCAGTGGGTTGCCATGGGCTACCGTGTGTAGCCAGCAGCTAGCGTGAGTGGCCAGCAGCCGCAGTGAGCAGCCATCCAGAAGCCGGCGACTGATCTGCCTTGCCTGGGAAAAGCGCAATGATGGTGCCAACTTGGGTCAGTGAAGCAACGTCCTCCACAACTAGACTGAAGAACAAAATGACAACAACTTGTCTGTTCCCTTTCCCCCAATTCCCCAATGAAAATCTTAAAAAAGAAAACCATCTCAGGGGCTGGCTGAGTGCCTGTTCATTAAGAGTTGGCTTGGGAGCGCGAGCTCTGAGCAGCAGGGCCGCCGGTTCGGATCTCACATGGGCCAGTGATACTGCGCCCTCTACAGCTAAGATGGTGAACAACAGCTTGACCTGGAGCTGGGCTTCCGTGAGTCGCCAGCGATGGTGTAGGCTGCAGTGGGGCTGCAGTGGGGCTGCAGTGGGCTGCTGTGAGCTACCACGAGCGGCTGGCAGTCGGTGTGAGGGGCCGTGAGCAGCCATCCAATGGCCCACGACCGATCTGCCTCAGCCGGGAAGAGCACGATGATCACAATACCAACATGGGCCAGTGAAGCGATGTCCTCCACAACTAGACTGAAGAACAAAAAGACAGCAACTTGTCTGTTCCCCTTCCCCAATTCCCCAATAAAAAATCTTTAAAAAAAATCTTTAAAGAAAACTATCCCATTTACCATTGCATAAAAAAAATACTTAGGAAAAAATTTAACCAAGGAAGTAAAAGACCTGTACACAGAAAATTATAAGCCATTGAATAGAGAAATTAAAGATACAAATAAATGGAAACTTATACCATGCTCTTCAATAGGAAGCATTAATACAGTTAAAATGTCCATACTACCCAAAGTAATAAATAGTCAGTACAATCCCTATTAAATATCAATGGCATTTTTCACATAACTAGAACACATAATCCTAAAATGTATATGGAACCATATAGACCCCTAATAGCGATGGCAATCCTGAGAAATAAGAACAAAGCGGGAGGTTACATGCTACCTGATATCAAGTTATGCTACAAGGCTACAGTAATAAAAAAAGTATGATTTTGCCATAACAACAGACACAGAGATCAATGGAATAGAATAGAAATCCCAGAAATAAATCCATGCCTATGTGGTCATTTAATCTATGACAAAGAAAGCAAGAATTTACATTGGGGTAAACACAGTCTATTCAATAAAATGGTGCTGGGAAAACTGAAACCAGCACAAAAAAATTAAAACCAGCCCACCTTCTTATGCCATATACAAGAATAAACTCTAAATGGATTAAAGACTTAAATGTAAAACCTGAAACCATAAAACTCTTAGAAGAAAATATAGGAAGTAAACTTTTAGACATTACCCTTAGTAATATTTTTATTGACATATTTTCTCGGGCAAGGGAGACAAAAGAAAAAGTAAACAAATGAGACTACATCAAACTAAAAAGTTTTTTCACAGTAAAGGAAATCATTAACAAAACAAAAAGACATCCCACTGAATGGGAGAAGATATTTGCCAATGGCACATCTGATAAGGCCTTAACATGTATTGGGTTGTTGGAAAAGTCATGATGCATTTTTGCAACGAAAAACATAGAAAAAATACGTCATGACTTTTCTGACAACCCAATAAAGTTTATCTATCTATCTATCTATCTATCTATCTATATAGATAGATAGATATATAAACTCATACAACTCAATACCAAAAAATACAAGCAATGTAAAACATGGGCAGAAGACCTGAATAGATATTTCTCCAAAGAGGGCATACAGATGGCCAATAATCATATGAAAAGATGCTCAATGGTAACTCATCATCAAAGAAATGTAAATCAAACCCACAATGAGATACCACCTCACTCCTATCAGAATGGCTATTATCAATAAATCAACAAACAATGTGGAGACAAGGGAATGCTTGTGCACTGTTGGTGGGATTGCAAATTGGTGCAGTCACTATGGAAAACAGTTTGGAGTTTCCTCAAAAAGTTAAAAATACAACTACCTTATGACCCAGCAATTGCACTCCTGGGTATTTATCCAAAGAAATCCAAAACATTAATTAGAAAAAATATATGCACACCTATGTTTACTGCACTAGTCACAATAGCCAAGACATGGAAACACCTGAAATGCCTATCAACGGACAATTGGATAAAGAAATTGTGGTACATTCATACAATGGAGTATTACTCTGCCATCAAAAATAATGAAATCTTACCATTTGCTACAATACAGATGGACCTAGAGGTTACTATGCTAAGTGAAATAAGTCAGACTGAATAAGACAGATACCATATGAACTCACATGTGGAATCTAAAGAACAGAATAAACAAGCAAACAAAATAGAAACAAGCTCATACATACAGAGAACAAATGATGGTTGCTATTGGGTTGTCAGAAAGGTCATGACACATTTTTGCAATGAAAAACATAGAAAAATACATCATGACTTTTCCAACAACCCAATAGATGAGAGGAGGGTTGGGGATGCATGAGAAAGTTGAAGGGATTAGGAAGTACAAATTGGTAGTCACAAAATAGTCATAGGGATGTGAAATACAGTATGGGGAATATAGTCAAAAGCACACAGTTCAAAGAAGTTGGCAACAGAACCAAGTATGGGGAGACCTGGATTTTGATCCATCCATCCAGCTTTCATTCAGCATTTACTATGTGTCAAATGAAGATGACTGACAGCTCCCTCTTAGGAAATTATTTAGTTGTGGGCATCTGAGATGCAAAAAAATAACTGTAATATCCTTTGGCAAGTGCATTAGGAGATATCTGAACTAAATACACTGCTAGTATAAGGGAGGGTATCAAGACCAGGGAGAAATACAATCTAACATTTGTTTCAGAAATTTTAAGATGAATGTAGACCAGACCACAGCAAAAGTCTAGATGAGCGACAAGTCCAGCTTTAACTAAGACAAAGGCCAAGAGGATGTGCAAGTGATAGAATGGGTGACAGGGTGGGTAGTAGTACAATTCATTAAGTGAACACTGGATGCAATGTACTTCCGCTGCACTATACTAAGCCTACCTGATAGGGTTGTTGAGGACTAATATCATTATTCAAATTTTATAATGAGGATTTGAGATTTAGAGTGGTTGAATAACTTGTTCAGGTACTTTCAGCTAGGTACTGGGAGAGCTATGATTTAAACTCAAATGCCTAATTTTAAAGCCTGAACTCTTAGCCTACAGCATGATTTGGCCTAATTGCAACACCCTGGGCTTGGCCTGCCAAGAACACACAGGTAAATATGTACCATCTGTGGCTAGAGATACTAGAGGCAATATAGCACAGACTGTTGTCCCTGAGAGCAAGGTCAAGGGTGTGAAAATGGAAGGGACAGTTCAATAGTGTGGAATGCCTCAGTAAAGTCATTAAAATAAAATTAAAAGGTCCACTGATTCTGGCAAATCGGAAGATGCCTAATGACTTGTCAATTTCATTCTAGTGGCAAATACAAAAGCTACACTGCAGTGGATTTAGCAATAAATAGGAGGTAAAACATGGAGATAATGGGTATGGATTTCTCCTAAAAAACATGGCTGTCAAGAGATATGTAACATTTAGTGGAAGAAGGAAGTCCCAAGGGAAGCATTCTTTTTGTTTGTTTTGTTTTGTTTTTAAATTACGGGGCAGACCTGAATGTGCAGGGGTGGAATGCACAGAGGATGAAGATCCTGGAGACAGCACCTAACTAATGAAGCAAGAAGTGGGAGGGGCGTTCAGGGTTGGAATGGTTCGCTTTTGAAAATGGGTTGTTCACATCGGATAACCTTGGTTTTCTCCTTAAATTTTAAGGCAGAGGAAAGAAAGCAGGCAAGGATTCAGGGCTTGAAGAACACAGGAAAGGTCTAACACAGCATCTGTGGGTCTAGAGGAGAGAATGCTGCTGAGCATGCTGAGCCTCAAGAAAGAAATGCCCTGTGCAGGACGGACTTTTGCGTGTCCCTCTAAGGGTGACAGGAGGGGAGTTTCTGGGGAGAAAGTTTCTGCAGTCAATTAAGTCCAGGCTCACCACTGACAGTTGTGTAGCTTCTTGAGTCTCCTCAAAAATCCACGGAAGAACAAGTGTGTGTGTATGTGTGTGTGTGGAGGGGGGGGGGCGTTTACAACCCTCTCCTGAGGTCAATCACAGAGAGCCTGCTGTGTGCACTCGTCCTGGTTGATTCAAACCTGTCCTGGCAAAAAGCCAGGTGGCTCGGGGCGTGGTGCGACTGTCTTTCTACGTTTGTGGGTAATTCTGCCATCGTGGCAGCTTTAATGACATCCTTCCTGGTCCCAAAGCGCTTGGAACCTACTTCAAGAACCCAGTTTCCCAGAGCCTAGGCGTAGATAGGCAGGAGACGTAAGGCGCCAGGCTGGAAGGAAGGCAGCCTCTCCAGCCCACTCATCCTTTCCCGCTCCTCCGGGTAGCAGGGGATGGAGGAATCTCAAAGGACCTGAGGCCAGTGCCTCCGGGCCCCCTGAGGGATCACCTGACTCCGGGTGCGGTGTAAGTAAAGGGGGTGAAAGGACACCAAAAGAACCGGAAGGCGCGCGGTATGGGGTGGGGTGCGCTGACTCCGCTCGGAGGAGGGCTGAGGGTACCTGGAAGTTACCTCCAACATGCCTTTCCTACTTGCCCGCGCCGTATCGATGAGCGTGTTGTCCAAGTCAAAGAAAACGGCCCGCACAGTTAGCCCCATCCTGCCGGCCGCCAGCCCCACGCTCCAACTCCCTGCCCCGCCAGCGCATGCGTGAGGCCAGCTCATCCTCCAGGAACATGTGGGCGGAGCTGTGAGGATCGCCTGACCCTCCCACACCCAAGGCTGCCGACCTCCCGCGAGATGTCTCAGTGTTTGAGCGCCTGAAAACAGCGATAGCAAGCCACACTTCGGAATTGTGGTCTTTAGGGCGCGAGTGGTTATCTGAGTGGCTTACGGTGGTGGAGGGCGATTAGAAGAAGCACCATTTTCCTTATTTGTAGCGTTTTTGTGCTTATCTATTTTTTCATTATGCCCTCCTTGAGTGAGGAAGATGTCATAACTGCGCCGGGGGGTTGAGACGGGGAATGGAGGGATTCTGTGCCATTTGGCACCTGGGAAGGAGACTAAGAACCTGGCTTTTCTCGTTAGGCGCGTGGGGTGTCGCACAGGGAGCTGTTGGCAGCCTCTGCTGCAGTCTCTGAAATGTCCCAGGTCTTTTGTTTGCCGTGTGTGTGTGTCTACGTGTCTACAGCCAAGGGACAGGTCACCGTTAGGAACAGGAGCACCAGAGGGGTGCAAAACTGTGCCAATGTAAGAAATGTCCAAACCTATAGAGAATTTTTATAAGTTTTTTTGGGACAAATACTTTCAGGGAAACAGAATCTCAAGGAATTAAGAGAATGCTTGGGAGAATGGCAGTTCGGCAGCATATTTTCTACATTAGAATCAAAGGAAGAGATGTAAAAAGGATTACACGAAATCCGTTGGTGGTAGACTAGGGGCGAGAGAAAGCAAAGGAGGAGGGGAGGAATCTGGCATTGGATAAAAAGTAAAATGGAGAGGCACATACTTCTTTTGCATTGATGGGTACAGGATAGTAAACAATTATAGTACATAGAGATAGTTTGTGGGCTACAAGATAACAATGAGGGGTTCTGTGGTCTCCTCCTCTGGTGTCAGCTACTGTGCCTTGAGGGGTCTGGGAAGGATTACTCTTACATTTCAAAGGCATGTTATCTTAGGTGCAAGAAGACAATAGACAGGCTCACTTATGGTAAAGATTGACCTTTGTCAAGGAAGCTACAGACCAAGGATGTGACTACCTGCCATGACTTGCTTTTAGTTAGGAATTTTTATGTTCAGATTATCCTATTTGGTCTCTGAGTTTGTAAGGCCCACCATGCAGGTCTCCCCTGAGCTTGTCAAGTTTAGTACGTGACTCGTTTTTCGTCCACAGCTGTCATTGCCAGTGTTTTAAAATCTTATTTAATAGCTTATTATGTGCATTGTATTTTTCAAGCTCGGAAACCTCCCACCTGGTTCTTACTGTGTTTATCTACTTGATTGTGGTAGCTGTGTTAGAGCTGGAGCCCTCAACAGTACGGGTTTAAAAGTTGTAACCTGGATTTTTTTAGAATCCTTGATCATTGTGCCTGAAGACTGAGGGCACTGTAGTGTCTGCCTGATGTTTTGTCCACCTTGATTGTTTTTCCTGAAACCTTGCATTTCTGGATCTTTGGGCATCTTCTAACTGTATAATTTCAGGTATAGCAAGAGACTGAGGGACCTAGACTATTAAAGCTCCAGAAAGCCTATAACAACTATTGCCTTTTACTGTTAGCAGAATAAGGATTTTGAAACTGTCAACCAAAGGCTGTCATTGCCAATTTAGCACCAATAGGAATTTGGGGTATCGTGAAGGGGAGAGCTTGACTGTGATACAGCTCAGGTGAAGCAGCCTGGGTTAAGTTGGCTCAGGTGTTACAGCTCCAGTGTTACATACAGCTTTGGCTGGGGAAATACAGTCTTCAATGGAAATTAAAAGTGCATTCCATTGAGGCAGAAGTGAAGCTGGCTTATGTAAAGAAGAGTACTCACCCCCAGGCCCTGATTGGTTGTGCCTCATGCAAATGAGTATTCCAAATCCTCACAGTTCGATTGATCCAAAAAGCATTGTACTGATAGGTCGATAAAAATGCAAATGAGAGTAGAGCTGTGCAGCTCCGACTGGACTAGGAAAGTCTCAGTCCTATTGGATGAATTTTGATCCTAGGAGCTGTGTTATAAGGGTTGATTCAAATGGCAGGAGCACAGCACAGTCTGCAGCTTTTCTCTGGTATGCAGTGTGCATGAGAATCCTCTGCAAACAAAGGCTGCTAGACTCTGGTTATGAATTTGAGTTTGAGTAACCACAAGGGGTCCTTTTTGGCAGGTATATTCTTCTCGGAGTCAACAAAACTAATCTCTAATATTCTGTATAAATTGTCTCTGTTGGGGTAACTTGACCAAAATTTGGATATGTGGTCATCATCAGTGACCAGAAATTATCTATCAGAACCAGGATACAGGCCAAATCTGACCTGTCATGAGGTTTTGTTGAATCTGTTAGCTAAGAGTGGTTTTTACATTTTTTTTAATGATTGAAAAAAAATCAAAGGAAGAGTATTAATGACACATGACAGTTATAGGAAATTCAAATTTCTTTGTCTATAAATAGTTTTATTGGGAGCCAGCTACACCCATTCAGCTATCTATTGTCTTTGGCTGTTTCGCCCTACAATGGCAAAGTGGAATAGTTACAAATGAAACCATATGGTCTGCAAAGCCTAAAATATTTACTACCTGGCACTTTATAGAAATAATTTGTCTACCCCTGAGGTACATGATTGACAGTTGGGCTGCTGGTGTTTAGTAGAATTAGGTTGTCTTATCTTTATGTTAATAGACTTTTCTTCTGCAGTGGCAAACTACAATTTCTATATGTTTGGGAGCAGAATCACTGTTGACCTTTTTTTGCTCGCCTGGAAAAGAAGCATATACATTCCTCAAAAACATGACTCTATGTGGTTGCAGGGCTAGTCTATCAATTTTGGTCATTTAGATTAGCAATCAGCCAACATTATGAGTGTATTAATTAGAGTTACTGTTAGGCATGGACCTGGAGGAATGAGTTGTGGGAGAACAAAATTGGTCTATTAGAATTTATTTGGTGTGTTTGAGCTGCAAGAGGACAGGCTAGAAAAGACCATAATCTCCCCGATCAAAAAGGGGTATGGAGTTTTATAGGAGGAGGTAAATGTGGCTATTCCCCCTTCAATTCTTCAGGGGCTTTTTCATTGCATTGTCTCTTGCAACAAAGAGTTTAGGGTTGGGGCATTACCAAGCCCTCAGGTTCCACATCCTGGCTCCTAGGTGCAGTCTGGACTGCCCAGGCCCTGCTGATCATAAGCCCCTAGGAGACAAACACAAACCAGCAGGTACAAAGTAGGAAGTAAGACAAGAGGGCTGTTAAGATAAAGTTTCTGCTCCTGGCCTAAATATGGCCCAACAGTTACCTGAAATGTCAGAATAAATTTAGCATAATACTGCTTATGGTCATATAAATTTATAGGATGGGAGCAGTTTGGTTTGTTTTACTTTTTTTGTTTGTTTGTTTTTGGTGTACCTATACAGTTATTGACAGGCACAAATCTAAACTCAGAGGAGGTATAACAGTCTCTATAGTCAATCCTCTTAATGGGTTGGGTGTTTGACAGGTTTCCCTCTGTGACAAGTAGTCTAATGGCATTCCATGACCTGTCAAACCTTGCTACTTAACGGCAGGCGATTGCCAGATACAGTACATCCTGACAGCTTTAATTCCTCCTACTTAAATGTCTTGAGGTTTTAGTATGTTGCAGTTAATATTTGTGAACCAATGAGTTTTCATGTAGCATTTTAAGGCAGTGAGATGTACAGGCTCCTGATTATAGATGGGCCTTAGATTATTAAGCACAATTGTTAAGCTGGTAAGATTGGCAGATTTAACATTAGTAGCTAGAGGAGGTCTTCATATTTGCAGGAAGCAAGGTATAAGTAGCAGATGGGTAATTGGTAGACTTGATCTAGGAACAAATAAAGTAAAAACTAAATGGTAACGCTGCTTATCCTGCGGTGTGCACAGTGGCACCATTGTTGTACAGCTGCTGCTTCCCTGCGTTGATCCTGGCATTTCCTACCTTAGGGAAAGTCTCTCCCAGGCCCTTCCCACTCACTTTCCCTGCACAAGTTCATTACAAATTCATGACCTCAAAAGAGAGGGCTGCCTTCTGGTTTAAAGTTTTCTCAGAATGGAGCATTGCTAAGTTGATAGGGATAAAATAGCAGCAACCAGAAGAGAGTCTCACAGGCTCCCATTTTATCTACCCAGCTATCATTAGCTGTACCCACCCACCCTGCCTGATAACCTTCTGTGGCCAGCCCTTTCAGTTCCCTAGATCCCCACCCCTACTTAGGGACATCTTGTCAGCAGTTGTTTTCTCCTCTCTTTTACATCATCAATTTTTTTCCATCTGTTTGTTAACCTAAAACTAAAAAAGGACTTTCAAAGTCAACGGCAACAAGCATTTATTTGAGGTCAAAGAATAGCTATTTGGGTTGCACTGATTCAGGCAGAAGTCCAAATAGTATTCTAATTAGGAGACAAAGGCAATGGGTATCTAAGAGAAAGGAAAGGGGAACAACTACATCAATAGAAGGAAAGCATTTCTATTGGTGCAGATAATATAGTGAAGTTAATTCTAAATAATGTTTTTAATTTTCAGTCCAGTAGTCATCAGTCTGGTAGTCATAATATCTGCTTTCTCATTATCTGCAAACAGTTCTTTGGGGCACAAGGTTACCTTAAGCCCAGTCCAAAGATTATTTTGCATTGTTTTAACATTCCAAAGATTTGAGGTATAAGACATGCAAGCCAGTTCCTCAGGGATGGCAGATCCAGCTCCACTTTAAACTGGCTCCATTTATTATTTTTTTTGACATGTTTAATCCACTCCACTCAGCCTCTCACAATACTCTACTGAAACTACTATTGCCAAGTCACCAATGACCTTCAACTTGCTAAGTCCAATGGCCATTGTTTTATGAAAAGGCTATGTATGCAAAGCAGACTCCAAATGCTGAAGGAGCTGATAAGCTGAAGAAGGAGGCAGAAAAGTCCAGCTTGTAGGTTTAGAGAGTTTAATAGGGAACGTGTGTACAGAAATGGGTTTTGGGTGGCCACAGGGCATACAGATCTGAGCAT